GCTGCATATGTGACTTCACATATCACGTTTGCGCGCTCACGACTGTCCACTTAGGTTGCGTTCTTCTTTGCGTTCTTCCCCACTGATTTTCGAGCGAGAGAGTTTTACGATAACTGCAGAAATTCTCGCGCGCTCATTGGCTAATTTTCATTGTCAATAAGCGGACAGACAGGAATTTATAATTTTTGCGATGCGGCAACGAGCGAGAGCGGACAATTTGACAACTTGTTATCGTAAAAAACAAATTCACGTAAGGTTTTCATGCGTCTGTCCTGTCATTGACAATGAATTTCGTCATAACATTGTCAAAGTAGCTGTGGATCACCGATTGAATACGCAGAATCCAGTGGAACCCAGAATAGAGAGGACATGGAATAGAAAGGACATGTTGCAATGTGGTCTCCAACCGCGGTTTTCCCATCATTCTCATCGCGTAGTTGATCTGACTTGGCGCGAAGCAAGCGATTAGCATGAGGCACGCGGCACCAGCCATACGCGTCATTTTGCTGCGAATTTTAACTCTGCTCTCTATAGGCTATTGCACATTATGCTTTTATTTCCCCACTAAAATGCTCCATCTTAATGCTCCATTTTTACCAATAAAATGCTCGGTCACTCACCCAAAAAAGGCGACCACGCACCGTTTACAAGGGTCTTCGTGATTCGCCAAACGAAACAATAGGTATACAACACAAACAATGCCCCTAGCCCTAAAACCAAGAGAGGTGCAGATTAACAAGAACGAATCAAACTGGAGGTGCAGGTCATCTGCAGAAAAGTCACTAAAATGCTCGGTTAATGCTCGTACATAGGGTTTTTAAAATTTTAATAATCTAACGTTTTAACACAATTAACACCTCAGGGTGCTTAACTAAAACACTGAACAGACGCAATCGACAGGGTCACAGTCTCACAAAGGTGAATATTTAACAAACATGGCCGCCATATATTGGATGTGACTTCCGCTGATCTCACCTCAGTTTCCACGGCTGTCTTGTGGTGGCAATTTGAATTTTTTTTTGAATTTCGAGTTAAGACTTCGTTTTCTCGTTAGAAAAAGTAATTTTTAGTTCTATTTTCTGTGGAAAAAAATAAATTTTCCGGGAAAATGCCACTAAAATACTCGAGTCATGCTTAATGCTTTTGCCTCACTGAAATGCTCGAAAAAAAATGCTAGCATAAGGTACAAAAGCCTAGCTCTCTAGTCTCTACTTGGACGCCACTGTGGACTTGTAAACCATGCCAGTAAGCACGAACATCACTGTGAGGCCTGGAATTACCGGAAGCAGTCAAGATGGCTGGATATTGGTCAAGTTTCTTTTTTGCGTGTTTATGGACCGAGACAGAGTCGACATGCAAAAAAAACGAGGCCAATATCCAGCCATCTTGACCGAATAAGCTTAGG